AATCTGGAAGGGTTAAAGAACCTTTAGAAATGATATGCCAAGGGCCTTAAACATCAGGACGAATATGTGAAATGGCATGTAATTTTCAGGGCTCTAGGTCATTCCTTTCTTGTCAGGCTGAGAACTTCTCAGCACTGCCTCACAGAAGCTTTCTTTCTGTAGATACCTTTCTTCAAAAATGGAAGTGACTGGAGCAGGAAGGCCAGACTTTTCACTTCTCCAGACTTCATACTTCAACACCCTACTACATCCCATTTGGTGGGGCATGTGGAGAAGGTATCAGGTGACACCAGGAACCAATGGGACTTTATCAAGAACTAACTTTGTCCTGATTCTCATTCTGAGCTACTCTCAAGATTGCCCATCCCTAATAGGCTCCAACAGGCATGGTGCTTAATGTGGACAGCATGCAAAAATAGATAAAAGGGGTGAGGAACTTTTGGCTCCCCAGATGTTTCACACTAAACACCCCTAATCCCTTGTATGATGTCTGGGATCTGAAGTCTAGAGCATTGTGGGCCAAATTTCCCTGTCCCTGTTATTCTAGCTGGTCTATATTAATCCATATCTTTTTCATCTGGATCAAGATATTTAGTAACATGCACAACACATTATTGGTGCTAAATCTTTGGCCAGAAGTGTCAACTTTCCTATTATTTCATAATGGAAACAAAAGACAAAGGCAGATGAAGGGAAGATTGCATAGGCCTGCAGAGACAGAGATGCTGAGAGAAAGGGGCATACAATGCCAAGAGAAATCAGGGAATGGAAATGCGGGAGCGTACTCATGCTTTCGGCACAAGAAAAGCATGCCCACTGAGGTGTGCATAGAGAGGCACTTAAGAGATTTTCCCTCAAGGTATCTATGTCCCTGATCAAAAGGTCAAGAACAGATGCAACACACTCAGTGGGGCCAGTTGTGGATCAGTTGCTTACATGAAAAGAGGAAAGCCTTAAGCTTCCCATGGTATGGAGTCTCCAAAAGGAGAGCAATAAAAGACATAGGGCCTTTGCAGACTGCCAGAAATAGTGCACATTAAATTGAGGCACTGCCCTGGCTCAGTGCTAGGGAATCATGGGAACTGTAATTTATTGTGGTACCAGAGCTCTCTGACAGAGAAGGCTCAATGTCTCAGAAAAAAATACAGTTCCCATGACTCCCTAGCACTGAGCCAGGGCAGTGCCTCAATTTAATGTTCACTATTTCTGGCAGTCTGCAAAGGAGTATACTTTCTATGCATGAGATAGAGTGATTTTTACTGCATGCCTCACTATGCTAAGAGAAAACTGGGAGCTGTAATGAAGATAGAAAGTGTTAGCTGGATATTTGAAAACTGGAGTAGTTAGTGAAGATTCATATCTTACTGAGGCCATCAGTCAGTGGCAAAGCAACTACCGTATTCTCCAGCATATAAGACGACCGGCCGTATAAGACGACCCCCAACTTT